GACCCGTGGAGGAGGGGACAGCAGACAGAAGTAACAAGTTCTAGTTTCCCACAGCCCAGCGGGTGCCTAGAGTTCTCAGCAATGCTCCGTGTGCGTGCTGTGCAAACCCGGAGGTGAGGAGGGAATAGACCCCAAGCGCAACAAAAAGGTACGGAAATGGAAAAGCTGGCTGCCTGGTTCGATTGACTTACACTGTGCAAATATGCTGAGATGGTGCACTTTATGCCATAAAAATACACAAGTAGTGCATGCTAATAAAAAATTCATTCTGAAATATTTTCTTTTTCTCTGAAATGCATGGAAGAGGGGAGACAAAGAAAGAGAGAGCTCCCATCCGCTAGTGCACTCTCCAGATGCCTGAGATGGCCAGGGCTGGGCCAATGCTGACGCCAAGACCTGGAGACTCAATCCAGATATCCCATGTGGGTGGAAGGAACCTCATTATCTTCTGGGAAAGATGCACCCCCTACGGGGTCATGATCTTCTGAACTCCCACACCCCCTGGTGGATGCCTGGGTAAGCAGGCTGCAGTCTACACATACGCTCTCCTTTCCACTCTCAGCACTGAAAAGAGATTCTCTCTCTCTCTCTAGGAGGTCCTCTAGCTACAAATGTGGGATCGCACTCCCCTCCAAGCTCTGTTCTCCCCACAGGGTTCCGTGTCCAGTACCTGGTGGCGGCTGCTGTACACCTTCTCGGCTGCTATGGTGAGGGGCACATCGAGCAGAGAGAGGAAGGTCAGCTGGGGGGACGCGTACAGCATGAAGCCGTACAGCCCCACCACTTTCACCAGGCTTCGCAAGAGCACATTGGCGTTCAGAGGCAGCCAGCGGCTCATCAGCAAGGTGTCGGAGCTCAGCCGTGAGTTCAGCTCTCCTGGAGAGGACGCAGCCGCAGGTGAGGAACCGGAGCCTCCCACGGAGCTCCCACCTGCCTGTCCCTCCACCCGCAGAGAGCCTGGGGGCTGCAGCCCTACTCTGTTCCAAGGGAGTCAAGAGGAGCCCCAGGCCCTGGTGCCTGGGTGGAGGCAGGAGGGTACCGGGCTGGGGCGGGGGGGGGGGGGGGGACACAGCAGACCTGGACTCCAGGCCTCACCTGTCTTAGTCTCCTGGAAGAAACCCAGGTCCTGGCGTAGCAGTGAGGAGAAGAGCTGCTCCCGGACCCGCACGTTGATTCTGGACATGATGAGCGTGAAGAAGCCTCCTCGGCAGCCTGCAGACAGCGAGCTGTGGGGTCGGGCGGAGAAGGGGCGAGGGGGTGCGAGCAGAAGGAAGAGAAACACAGAATCAGAGACAGCAGCGGAGAGAGGAGACAAAGAATCGAGGGGGAGGGGAGGGGCATGAACAGAGCAAGAAGAAAGGCGGTGTGGGAGCCACATCACAGCAGGCACAATTCCACAAGGGTTCATGGGGTCTGCACTGTGCTAGACACCAGGGAAGACAAGAGCTACTAGGAAGAGAAGCAGCCTGGTGCTGGCGTCTGCCTGGCCTCCATGCACCGCCCCTCCAGGCTTCTCCCCCGTCCTGGCCTCTCCTCCCCTGCCCCAGCATCCTCCTGACAGCCACTGATGCTCCTCTACAGGAACTGCAGCCATGAACCCCTGCCCTCCCCATCCACGGAGCCCTGGGGTCGTGCTGCCCACACGATCATGCTTGGAGAATTGCCCCTGGACCAACACTAAGGGAAAACACTAAAACCTACAGGCAGGTGTTCCATGGGTTTCTGCTACACATTTAGTTGTGACGGTCAAGAAGCTGTGGGTACTGCCAGACACGAAATAATGAGGGACTGGGCGCTGGTGAGCGAAGTGAGAAAGCAGTCAAAAATGGTGAGGCTGGTGTGGGACTGGGAGGAAGGCACGGACATGGGTAGGAATAAGAGGAGGGAGCCACTTCACTGAGGACCAGGAGGCAGCATGATACCCTGGGAGTTCTGGGTCCACGAGGGCCACCCAATCAGGATGGATGGATGGATGGATGGATGGATGGATGAAGCAGATGGATCTTAAGTACATGCACGCCTATTTTAAGTATCTGGGCAAGAAACGGTCTGAAACTAGCATTGGGGAAAGGAGGGGCCCTGCAGATTTGGGTCTAGCAAGTGAGCCCAACTGCCCTTCACCTACCTGCCAACAGAGAAGAGGCACATGAAAAAGATGGCGCTGACAAATGCCTCGGGCTCAAAATCACTTCCCAGGATGTCAATCACACGACCGGAATAGTGAGGGATTACGGTCTCCCCTGCCAGAGGCCCGAGCGGGAAACAGACGTGTGGGCAAGTGCAAAAGGGCTTTTGCCCACCTCCGACCCCAACATCCTCCCCACTCACCCAAAACAGCAAACACCAGGAAGACGGAGGCAGCGGCGAGGAAAGGCAGGTCTGGCCTGGAGAGCTTCAGCAATCTCCACATCAACGCTCTGCTGTCCTCCCGGGCCTGAGCGCCCTCTGCCGCTCCCGGGGAGCTCAGCACAGCCCACACGGCGCAGCTCAGCCCCGCCGCCCCGTAGCCCAACAGCAGCCAGCTCCACGGCGCGGAAGCCACACTGGCTGCGGGCGCACTCGCCGCCCCTGCGACCAGGGCCCTCAGCGAGAAAAACAGTGGCGTGGCCAGGCACAGCACGGGTAGCCGGGTCCTCACCAGCCCCGACAGCCCTCCCAGAGTTAGCAGTCCCCACAGCCCCCCGAGTCGCAGGGTCCCCTCCAGCCACAGTCCTGGAAGCCCCTGGGGGAGCAAAGCCCCCACAGTCCCCTGAAGCAGCCAGAGCAAGGCCAAATCCGCCACCAGCAGCGAAGCCCAGGGTCTCGGGTCCGGGAGCGGCATGGCGCTACCTAAGGGGACAGGTGAGAAACTGGAGAGCTGATAACCAATCCTCGCCCCAGTCCAGAGCTCCCGGCTGTCCCCAGCCTCTCCCTGCAAGACGTGGTACCCGGCGCTCAGCAGCGCACGACTCCCACACGGGCGCCGTTCCCGTTCAGCCTAGTACTAACAGGAAAAAAAGTCCTCCTGACCCCGCCCCACCCGCTCCTGAGGCTACCCCACCTCCACACTCCTCAGGATCCCCAGCGATGGGGAGCAGGGGCGTGGGGTGGGTGACGGCGTGGAGTGCCGTCTGTGCCCCAGGCCTCTGTCCGCAGGAACTCACAGGCGGCGGCAGGCGGCCCTGGAGGACTTTCTCTTAAGGGGCAGGGACTGAGCCCTGAAATCCCCTGCCTCCGTCTCAACTTCCTTCTCTACCTGGGTCGGCCCAGAAGCTCTGGCGGCGAGGGGGGCCCCTGAGCTCTCCAGGGTTTCGCTTTCGCTTCCCAGCCCACGCCCTCTTTCTGCGCGAGCGGCCACGCGGTGGCGCGCGAGACCTGCGTCCCCCGCTGCACCTGCTTTTCCCAGCCCTCGCTCACGCCGCCCCAGCCCGCAGCGAGTCTTTTTGCTCTTAGCGGCCGTTACTCCGAAATGGAAAACTGCCGAAGTGTTCCATCGTCGTTAGGTAAAATAAGGCTGTTTTTTTGTTTGTTTGTTTGTTTGTTCGTTCGTTTGTTTTGACAGGCAGAGTGGACAGTGAGAGAGAGAGACAGAGAGAAAGGTCTTCCTTTGCCGTTGGTTCACCCTCCAATGGCCGCCGCGGCCGGCGCACCGCGCTGATCCGAAGGCAGGAGCCAGGTGCTTCCTCCTGGTCTCCCATGGGGTGCAGGGCCCAAGCACTTGGGCCATCCTCCACTGCACTCCCTGGCTGTTTGCAGAATTGGGATGCTTTGTAGTTGCAGCAATACTGACTGTTCTCAAAGTTACCACCTCCAGCTCCAAGCTGGCTTAACAGGCCATGCACGCTCATATAAGCCACATCCTGAGGGGGAAGCCCGAAGGATTTCTCCCGGAGGGAAGGTCCCAGCCACTCTCACCCGGCCGACGGGGCTCCCCGCTTACAGGCTGTGAACTGAGGAGGCCCCTGTGCTGCCCAGCCGCATCCGGCGAGCAGGGCACCTGCTCAGCTGCCTCTGAGGCTGCCCTCCACGTTCTGACCACAGCACCACTTTGTCTCCAGGCATACTAACAGTAATGAAAACAGGAATCAGATTTCTATGGGGTCTGCCAAACCCAGAGCCACCTGAGAATTTGTTGATTCTAGAAATGACTCTTCAGGTTGGAACTGTTTCCAGAAAAAAAAAAGTCCCCAGAGGGAGGATCCCTTGAATTTCAACCTACAGATTAAAATGTGACTGGCGTGAATACCAGTGAGTCACTTGATATTGAAAATAGTGGGCCCTTCAAAGTGGAGCTTTGAAGTCGGGGATTACTAACGTTTCTCCAAACCAGTCGTTCTGGGATTTTAAAGCTCTCTCCACAGTGAAAAGAGCTGCAGGCGGGACTGCCTGTTTTCAATGACTCCCCTTGGCAAGGTGCTGTGCTCCGTGGTCAGGGCTATTACCCATGACCCAGTGCATTACAGAGTCTCGCCCTGCCTGCTTCTCCTTTCTGATATGGGTCCTGTGTTTCCTCCTCATTCTCTCCGCTTCAGGGAGCCCTCTTTACTGCGTCACCCTGTCATCTGCCATGGACCGTGACACCTCATGAAACTGAACCCCTCGTGTCCCCCTGGACGCCTGGTATCCGATATCTTCAGAGTGCATTTCAGGGTCACTAGCACAACCTTTACGACTTCCACACACACGCGTGAGGAGGGAGCTTTTTCGTCTTTCTCTGCAAAGTCCAGAGCACCTGCTCCAAGTCCCTTCTCCCGGCAGCCCAAGCCCTTCACAGCAGACCAGGGCAGAGTCTCCAGGTCGGAACTCTTTAGAAAGAACCCTCACCCATGTGAAGCTGCAAATAAGAGCTCACACATGGCAATGTCCGGCCTTCCCGGGGCCCTGAATGTGAAGGGAACCCCAGGAAGAAATACGGGGAGGGGGGGAGTCCCATTTTTTAGAAACAGCCTCTCTTTATTTCCTGGCCCTTCCCCCACAGCCCTCACCCCCCACACACCCCCCGCAGCCACAACACGGAGGCATCTATAACCGGTCTCCTTTATTGCGCTCAGCAGGGCACCCAGAAGGCTCCCCAGAGCAAGTGCTCATTGACACGGAGAACACACCGGGGTGCACCCGGCCACCCCCGACCGGCACTGAGCCTCGTCCTTCTCCTGAGGCCTAAGCTGGCCCAGGTCCCTGAGTGGGCCCGGCCTGGGCGGGGGCAGGCTGGCCAGCCGCCACCAGCATTACTGCTTGGCTTCCTGGTACTGGTACATCAGGTCACTGACGTCGGTGCTCTCCACTTTCACCCAACCGTCCTCCTTCATGTGGTACACTGCGGGCCAATGAGAAAGGAGCAGCGTCACCTTTCACCTTTCACCCGCCACGTGCTCCACCCCCTTTGTGCGCTGCAATGTACTTCCGGCTCTGGAAGCCACCTGCCACCCAGCTTTCTCTGAGTCTCGCGATCTTGAATCTCATTCTCGGTGTGGGCACCCTGACACAACGGATTTAAGCTACCGCTTGGGACGCCTACATCCACATTCAGAGTGCCCGGTTCTAGTGCCCACTGCCCAGCTACTGCACATCCAACCCAGCTTCCTGCTGATTCTACCCTGGGAGGCAGCGAGAACTTGAGTCCCACCACCCAGGAAGGATGCTCAAACGGAGTTCAGGGCTCCTGGCTTAGGCCTGGCCCAGGCCTGGCTGTTGTGGGCATTTGGCAAATAAACCAGCCAATGGAAGATTCTCTCTCTCTCTCTCTCTCATTCACCCTCCCTTGTAAGTAAACTACAAAAAACCTGGCTCCTTCCCTTCCTCCCAGATGTGGCCATGGGAGCACGGGTCTCTTACTATTGACAACGCCGCCAGAGTAGCTGTCTCTGTGGGTGGCGTGAACAATAGCCCTGCGGCCGAGGTCATAGGCCTCTTCAGGGCTGAGGTTGGGCCGATAGCCACTGTCCATGACCCCGTAGGCGTAGGTGTTCCCGCTTCCAGTGGAGAACATAGTTCCTGAGAGCCGAGTCCCATTCTCATCCACGTAGTAGAGACCAGGACCCTAGAGAATGAAAGAAGATTCCAGATTGAAACTGGAGAGGGAACTGTTAGTAACAGAGGTGCAACGTTGAGTCATAAAACAATGTATCCAAAAATTCTAATTTGTGGGTATTTGGCCTAGTGGTTTAGATGCAACTTAAAGCACTGTATCCCTTATCAGAGCACTGGATTCAATTCCAGGCTCAAGCTCCTGATTCCAGCTTCCTGCCAAACCCTGGGAGGCAGTAGGTGATGGTTCAAGTACTTGACTCCCTGACACCCATGTAGAGGACATGGGTTGTGTGTTCCCAGCTCCTAGCTCCACCCTGGCTGAACCCCAGCTTTTTCAAACACTTGAAGACATGGGAGCTATTTCTCTCTCTCTCTCTCTCAATACATTTTCCAAAATTAAAAAAAATGCTCATGAAAATAGAAGTAAAAGACAAGCCTAACTTAAAAATGAAATTACACAAAACCATTTGAATTATGACAGCACTTTGTAGAATCACAGAACCTCTGAAATAAAAAGGGAAAAATGAACTTGGAATCAGGCATTGTAATAAAAGGGACAAATTTTAAATATATAAATATATATGTGTATGTATATATTTATATAACAGTCCAACAAACACTAGAACAGTCCCAGAACCAAGGGTTCCAGAGGTGGGAGGGGGGACCATGGCTGTCTCATCTGGGGGGGGGGCGTGGGGGACGGAGCTCACTCACCTTCTTGTCCCAGCCACAGATCATGCTGCCCATGGAGAGCCCCATGCCGCGGTACTGGAACATCATGTTGGAGAGCAGTTTGGAGGCAGCTGACACCGAGATCCGCTCCCCATTCCGAAGGTAGTACAGCCTGGGGGTGGGGGGCAGGCAGGACTGAGAAGATCAGCTCTCTCCCGCCACTCCGCCACTCCGTGGGGCAGCAAGTGATTGAAGACACACACATTTGAGGATTATTTGGTAGGAGCTAACCATCAGGGAAAGCTTTAGAATGTGAAGAATCTCAAGGGAATTGAAAAGCCGACTCTCCCACAAGGTTGATGGCATCAGAGCTAAATAGCTGATCAAGTACAGGGCATATGGGCAGGAGCACAGGCTGGGATTTGGGCGGTGTTACCACCCAAAGGCTGTTTGTGAAATATTCCATTAGCACTAACCTGGGGCACAGGAGACAAGGGTGAGGAGCAGTGACTGACTAGCAGGGACTGACCCCCAAGCTAAGAAAGGGGAGAGGGGATCGGAGGCCTCGCTCACCTGCACTCCTTGGCCAGCAGTCGCTCCCAATACTGACAGTCGGCTGCAGAGCCAGACATGGTGCCAAGCAGGTAAGGGTTAATCTCAATCACCTTGTTCACCCTTATGGTGGCTGGAAGAACAGGGGGTCTTGAGGGAGGAGGAAGGACCCCATGGTTCTCCCCATGTGTCCTAAGTCAGGGTCGCCCTTAGCTTTGGTGCAGATGCTGGGCTGCTAATGAAGGGGGTGTCCAGCTGCCCAGGTGCTGCCCACCGGGCACACTCACCAATGTAACTCCCGGCCGAGGCCCGGGAATCCACTGCCACGACCACGCCGTGCTGGAACTTGAAGGCAAGCGTGGTGGTGCCATGGGCCATCTCAATCTGTACATTCCTGTCTCCATCCCGGCCCAGGGACTGCAAGAACTCAGTGGGCTGAGAGAGAGAGGATGGAGAGGGAGACCTGTGACAGCTTCCACAGCTCAGGCTCGGGGCAGGCTTTTGCCAAGGATGGGGACGAGGCGGGTAGGAGCTGTCAGAGCAGACAATTAACAACCTCTAGAAAGAAAGGGCTTGAGAGAAGGGAAGGAAGCAGCACAGGGCACCCCCCACCCCGCCCCCTTGCATTTTCTAGAGCAACGAAAATGAGCAATGGTGACTTGCGGCTCATTTCGATCCATTCCACCGTCAGCAAGTACGGGAGAAGCACTTGAGACCTAAAGTAATTGAGCCTGCATCGCCCGGCGGCGAGTCGCAGAGGCACGGCCAGCAGCCCAAGTTCCCAGGTTTCCAGAAAGGCGCTGGGCAGCCCCTAAACCACGGATCGCCACAAGCCGACGGAAGGGGCTTCGGGATCTGTGCGTGGTGCGCCCTCTCGACTTCCCAGGGGCGCGCCCTCCGCACTGCTCACTCTCTGCCCTGAGCGGCACTTCCCAACCTTGGGCCTCTAGCCTCACGTGGAACTCCCCCTCGCCGGGCCCCAGTCTCTGCGCTAGCGGACGGAACCCGCCGCCTCCCCCATCTCCGCCTCCGGCAGGGCAACCTCAAAGCAGACCCTGAGACCGGCGGTTCCTCTGCGCTCTGGTTCCCGCAGCCCTCCGGGCGTCCTCGCTGCACTGACCTGCATCCCCCGGGGGAGGGCGAGCTCCGGAGATCGCATGGAGAAACTGTAGTGTCCCGGGTCCGAGCCAGACCTGTCTCCCGCCGCCGGGACGGCCCAGTGCGGCCGGCCCCCTCGCGAGGCTCCGCACACGTCCAGCAGCGCCATGGTCGCCCCAGCACCCGGAGATCCGTCGGCCTTCGCACGAGGAAGTGAAAGCGAAAGCCACAGCGCCGCGGGGGAGGGAACCAGCATTTTTCCTGCATCCCTCTCCCCTTTCCACGAAGAGGCCTTGGCGGGCGTCTGAACCGGGGCTATCGTGCCGGGGACCTGCTTGGCGCTCCGCCTGCACCGAGGTCGAGAGACGGATGGCAAAGGGCAGGCAGGGAAAGGACGAAAGGGAGAGGCGCCCTCGGAAGCCCCCTGGGGAAGGGTCGCAGTCAGAGACTTCGGCAGGTCCCGGGGTGGGGGGGGGGAGCAGGTCGGGAGTGGATAGGGTGGGGTCACCTACAGGTATGGAGGTCAGCAAGGGCTGGGGGCCCACTCCCCGGGGGCGTTCATTCTAGCATCATTTTACAGCAACAGAGCGGGGACTGGAGGACCGGGCACTGGGTCCTTGAGGACAGGTTCCCAGCACAACTGGTCACTAGACCCGCAGCGGGTGGGAACAGGGGCGCCGGGGGAGAGGGCGCGGCCTCGGATCTTCCGACGCAGTCCCAACCCAGCAGTCTCATACACCCGCGGCCGCGGCGGGAGCTCCGGGGTCCGCCTGCGCCGCGCACCTTGCCAGCCTCCGCCCTGCGGTCCGCACCCTGTGCACTCCACGCCTCCAGACCCCGCCTCTCCTTGCAACCTGCGCCCGCGTAGTCTGCCCAGCAACTGGCAGCGTCACAGGACCCGGGCCCGCCCCAGAGGAGGGGATTCACCAGCTAAGGGCGCCCGCTACTCTGCGATTACGCAGGCAGGTGCCACTTCTGAGCGGCTGAGCTGGGCGGGAAGAAGCAGAGAGGGGAGGTGGCGAGATGTGGGCGCCCCAGCGCCTTCACTCGCGCTAGTCTTTCCGCTCTGCAAGGCCGGCCGTGCTGGGGCGGCCGCCGGCGCCCTGCAGAGGGCTGGTGGCTCCCGGTCTTGCTCATCCTTGGGACCGGCGCTCAGCGGCGTCGGTGGGGAAAGGGCCAGGGGAACCACGAGAAATCGAAAAGGCACGGGAGCACTTAGGGCTGCGAGGCACTGCGGAACGCGAAGGCGGGGAGCCATCGGCTGCGAGAACGCGCCCTGCAACAGATGGCAAGCCCGTCAGTGTGCCGAAAACAAGGGACAGCACAGGACAAAACGCCGACTTTATTATAAATATCAACACCCACAGGGCGCTTATTGGCCAGTATGCATCCCTGTTCTCTTTCTGTTCTTCTGAGCGCGCCCTCTCTTTTCCACGGTGCTATCCACACCAAAGCAGCCTCCTCAGCTCTAAACTCGGTTACCATAAGGTGTTAGAAAACCCATGTCTGTCTTCCAGAAGTCTGCATTGTTGAGACAGTGACAAGGAGGCGGCAAGTCAAAGCAAGTTCCAAGCGTCACCTAGGGGGGTACATTTTAGGATGCAACTCCGAGCAGCCTACTCTGCACCCCTAGTAAGGTCTCTGCTCCCAAGTTCTCCACCACAGCGAGGAGGGGGAGAGGCGGGGAGGGAGTGTGCAGGCCCGAGCACAGTTTCATTCTGGAGCGCCTGCAGGAGCTTCCACCATGGCCCAGTAGCGTCCCCTCTTCTCCATGAGCTGCTGGTGGGTTCCCTCCTCACACACAACGCCTCCTTCCAGAAAGAGGATGTGGTGCGCCTGCTCCACCAAGCTGAGGCGCTGCGTGATGAGCAGCACAGCGCGAGAGGCCCTCCCAGGGCTTTCATACAGGATCCGCTCCACCTGCGGAAAGAAGGCGGCTCCGTCACAGCCAGCGACCACTCCCAGCACAGGAAGACATGAGCCCGGCCAGGCCTGGCACAGACCTCGCAGGGCCACTGCCAGTTCGGCCAACAACCTGACAACAGTGAGGATTCCCGTTCTGGGTGCTGCTCTCCAGTCCCTTGCTTTGTTAAGGACTGTTCACGGGAGGCAGCCCCTGGGATACAGAGAACCCAACAGGGAAAGAGTCCAGTGGAGAAACCCACAGGAGCAGAATGGAGGTTGAATGGTCTTTCCTCTCTGCCTTCTGGCTGGGACTTGCACATGAGATGTTAAGGAGAACAACTTGTAGTAAAGAGTTTGAGGATCTGGGTCTGAATTTGGGTCTGAATTTAGGTCCAGACTCATATATGGTGTGGAGCAGGTTGTTCAAGCACAAAATGAGGACAGTAGTGCCCAGCTCACAAGGATTTGTGGTGAATAAATGGGAGATATGGTGTATATCCTCTAGCATGTCTGGCACACAATACAATCGTAATTCATATTCATATTAACAGGGTGGTCTTTCCCTTATGTTGGACTTTAGTTTTTCAGAGTCTGGAGGCAGTCTTGTGTAACAGGTTCCGAGTTATCCTAGGGAGAAGCTACAGGGAGCTGAGAATTCCAGGACTACTTTGGACTTTATGATGCTAGGGCAGCTACCGTGGGATGAGTGAAAGGAGCCAGACTGGGTTAGATGGAAGGGGAAGAAGATGGCACCCTCACCCGTAACTGGTTGTCTGCATCCAGGGCACTGGTGGCATCGTCTAGGATGAGCACTCGTGGTTTCCGGATCAAAGCTCGGGCCAAGGCCACTGCCTGCCGCTGCCCCCCTGACAGTTGGCCTCCAGCTTCCCCTACATCTGCAGAGCCAAGAGCCAAGATGAGAGCTGGGTGTGCACACATACATGTACACACATGCACACCTACACTCACACACACACCAAGGACTGACGGATGTGCCTGCACAGAGGAGGCTCTAAGAAGGTGAACAGAGTTGAGGGTGAGATGGTAAAGAAGCTCTAGGAACAAGATCTTATACACTATCAGCCCAAAGTCCACGGACAGAGGGAAGTAAATAATAAAAGCAAGCCTTCCTGGGGTTTCAGTAGAGATGTCTGAGCACCTGTGTTGTAGCCATGCGGGAGTCCCGAAATGAAGCCATGGGCCCCTGACTCCACTGCAGCAGCGATGACTTCCTCCAGAGTCGGCGTCTCCATCAGGCCGTAGGCAATATTTTCTCTAAGACTTCTTGCAAATAGCTGTGGCTCTTGCCCCACTGCAGCCACCTGCGACAAACATGATGAAGAGTCACGGAACAAGGAGCACTGGAACAAGGTTATCTAGAAGCTGACGACCAGGTCACAAAACCACGGGCCGGCTCCTGATCACACCCTCATCTCCACCAAAGGTCTCCTATCATCGCCTAACTCTTCTCAAAGTGCCCAGTGAGAGCGCTGATCGCACCTGTTGCTCCCTTCTTCCTCACCTGTCTGTGCAGGTAGCAGTGCTCATATTGGGGAAGGGGTTTCCCGTCCAGTAGCAGGCGCCCCCTGGTGGGCTGGTACAGATTCTGCAGCAGCGCGGCCACCGTGCTCTTCCCAGACCCGTTGGGTCCCACCAGCGCCGTCACCTCCCCGGGACGGAGGGTGAGTGTCAGGCCCTGGAAGCCAGAGAACCACACAGTAAGAGGCAGACTGAGGCCCCTGACCTTGAGATAGACACTGTCCTGTTACACAGCATGAGGTCTTACCCAAGAGAAGAAAGGAGGGAAATGGAGAAGTACAAGAGTGCTTTCAACATTTTGTGGGAAAATAATGTTTGTTTTGGTGCAAAACAGGTTGACATACATGCGTAGTTTTTTCACACTATTCATTTTTTATGAACTTTTTCGAAGTATCCTTGAATAACACGCCTACCTTCCCCCCCACACACACACAGCAAGAGAGAGCAAGAGAGACAGAGAGAGAGCCTTTGAGGCAAGGTCTCCCCTAGGTTGATGAGATGGAAGATTAGGTGAAGACAAAGATCTATGATGCCACACACTTGGTGCCAGACACCAGCAAGAAACAGAGAAACTCAGATGGAAAGAAAGGGAAGAGATGGGAGCCTGCAAACACAGATTTTGCTGTAGAAATTCCTTGGACTATGAAAAGCCTTCTATTTGAAACCTCTTCTCCATTCTCCTTGGAAGCCCAAAATGATTCTTGAGTCTGGGGTTTATGGGACAGATGACCTGTATCAGTGCCTTTAAAGGGTTAGAAGGATGTGTGCTTGGAATGAGCCCAGCTGAAACCAGAAAGGAAGCTGAGGATGGCAGAGTCGAGGGTTGGGTCAGTGGGATACAGGGTTTTGTAGGTCATACCTGCAGCACTGAGACTTCTGGACGGTTGGGGTAGGCAAAGGAGACGTCTTGGAACTTGACAATCCCATTCAGGTTCACGGGAATCAACTGACCACTAGGTGGGCTGCAAGGGGTCCGGTCCAGGTATTCAAATATTTTCTTGGAGGAGCCCACAGCCTTCTGCACATGGGGATAGGTGGAGAGCAGGACCTGGAGGGGAGGTAAGAACAGTGAGGGGGGAGGGCAGAGACATAATCTGCTCACCAGCATTGGGAGATGTGTGAAGTGTAAAGAAGAGAAGGGAAATGACACAGACGGTGACAACACAGGGGAAGGAGCTGCATGGGACATGAAACTGCACCAGCCTCACCTCAACAGCTGTGGTGAACTGGATCTGGTAGAGAACAAAGGTGACGAGGTTCCCACTGCTCACAGCCCCACTCGTCACCAGCCGCCCCCCCATGTACAGGATTACCACCTTCAGCAGCATCCCTGAGATCTGCAGAGAGACCACAGAAAAGGAGGATTGGATTAGAAAAGGTTAGGGGGTTCACAAGAAGTCAGAGTTGCTAGCAAAAAGGAGATGTAAAGTTCATGCCCCCAAGTAAACGGGACAGGCTCAGTAGGTAGAAAGGAAAAAAATGAAACGCAGAGAATCTGTCTCAAATACACATCATCGAGGTCCTCAGCAGCCCCATGGTCACCGTGTGTGGGGAGCATTTTACTCTTCACCAAAGTCTTTCATAGTGTGATGTCAGCTAGCGAGAGCCTTACCTGGGGCAGGCATTTGGCACAGCAGTGATGATGCTCCTTGGGACGCCCAGATCCCATATTGGAAGGTTGGGTTTGAGCCCCTGTTTGCTTCTAATGCAGTTTCCTGCCACTGCACACCCTGGAAGGCAGCTGACGATGCCACTCCCGTGGGAGACCCTGATGGAGTTCCAGGCTCTTGGCTTCAGCCTAGCCAAGCCCCTGCTGTTGTGGGCATTTGGGAAGTGAATCAGTGGAAGGAAGATCTCTCCCTCTCTCTCTTTCCCTATTGCTCTGCCTTTCAAATAAGTAAAAATTAAATAAAAACTCTTTCTTAAAGGAAGGTTAAATCATTCCAAGTCTTTAAAATAAGGCAATAATTTCAAAGAAGGTAAATTTCTTGCCAGAGCTCACAGAGCTAGTAAATGGCTGCATCAAGCCAAGAACTTACTTTTTCCAGATTTATTTATTTA